CCGCGGCCGGGGGGGGGAGCGGCCCCTTGGCGGCGGCTCTTGTGTGGTGCAGCGAGCCCCTGGCCTCCTCCGCAGCCTCGGCTAGGGGAAAGCTGCCCCTCGAATCGCCTCCCCGCCCTTCTCGTGCCCGGAGCCTTTGGTGGGGTCGCCTGCTGGCTCGGGGCGCCGTGGCGCAGCTTGCGGAGCAGTGCGGGGAGCCGGGTCACTCCCGTGTCAGAGGCGCTGGGAAGGCGAGGTGGCCGGGGTTGAGGCAGGCTGTGTGCGGAGCAGGTCTCGAGTGTAATGCTCGGGGTTAGCTGCCAAAGCCATCCAGAGGGTGAGCTGGGCGCCTCAGAGCGCAGACCGGGTCCACTGCCCCTAGGGTGCTTGGCTTGGCACGCTGGGGGGAGTGACAGCATCGTGGATCACCACATTGTCTACGAAAACCTTCAGAACCGCAGGTCTCGTCACAGATCAGCCCAGTAATATGCTTCCCCCATCCAGCCAAGTGACTTGGCCAGTTTTGTAATATTTTGGATGTTATGGCTGTCACGTTGGCTTATGAATATGCATAACTCAAAGAGGCTTTATGCAAAATACAGAATGCAACATGTCCATTTTAAAGTTACAGTCTGCTGAATCTGTATAGCCTATTTTTCTGCATGTATCATTCTTGTGTGTGAAGTTAGAACTATGACGTGTGAATTCAGTTTTTATTCTAAATGTGCTAATTAGTGATATTTTAAAAGTCTGAGGGGTAGCTGTATTAGCCTATAACTTTAAAAACGAGTATTCCTGTTGCATCTAGGAGTCTCTTTCTCTCTGGGTATGTCTACACTAGCCCCCTAATTCGAACTAGCTGGTTGAAATTGCAAATCAAACCCGGGATTTAAATATCCTGCGCTTGATTTGCATCTTCCCGGCCGGTTGCCATTTTAGAAAATCACTAGTTCGGAGTAACTGCCCGTGTCTACACGGGGCAGTGAAACGGAAGTCCGATTTAAAGCCCCTAATTCGAATTAGCTGGTAAACCTCCTTGCAGGAGGAATACCAGCTAATTCAAGTTAGGGCTTTAAATCAGACTTCCATTTCATTGCCACATGTAGACGGGGGCAGTTACTTCGGGCTTGTGAATTTCAAAAAATGGCGCCCTGCCGGGAAGATGCAAATCAAGCCCGGGATATTTAAATCCTGGGCTTGATTTGCAATTCTAAATGCCTATATTTGCAGCCCTAGTTCAAATTAGGCTGCAAGTGTAGACATACCCTCTTTCGATAGATATAGCCAGGGCTCGCCAAGTGGCGGTGAGTCCCGCTCGCCAGCCACACAGAAGTGCACGCTGCGCATGCGCAGACCGCGCTGCGCGGCCCTGCTGACTTAAAATCTACTCGCCACGGGCAAGTAGATTGAATCATTTGTTGAGCCTTGGATATAGCAATATACAGGGCTTGACAAATCACTGAATTTACTCGCCCGTGGCGAGTAGATTTCAGCTGGTTGCTCTGTTCACTGGCGGCGCGTGCATGCGCAATGTGGGTCTTGCGCATGCGCAGTGCGGGGCTGGCGAGTAGATTTCGCCACCGTTTGTCAAGCCCTGGCAATATAGTAACATGAGCTTTTGTGGGCAAAACCCACTCCCTCAGATGAGTGGAGAGGAAAGGAGGTACCCTCACAATTTATAACCGGTTCATAAATTGTGAGAATCCTCCCTTTTCTCCTCACTCTGCTCATCTGAGGAAATGAGTTTTGGCTATGAAAACTCACAATATTATAGATATGAAGGACTACCCCTTTTTAAGCGATTCTTTAGTATTTTAATAGCTCAGTATTCAAACCAACAACCTGTGAATAGTTTTGTTTTTCCTGTAAGGCTGATTGTGGTTGGTCATGCCAGGACATGTGGCCTGGCCACTTGATGCTGAAACCCATTTTGGATCTTGTACTTTTCTACTTTGGGTGAGAAAAGATTGAACTGAGCACAAAGATTTCCTGCCATGGACAAAAGAAATATAAGAGGGGGGAAAACCAAACAGTAGGGGCAGATGCCAGGAGCTCCTCCCGCTCCCACCGCCACCACCTGGAGGGAAGGCTGATGGAAACATCTAAGACTAAATGGAGGAAGGATTAGGCCCAAGGTAGGAGGCTGGTTAGCTTGTGAAAGATATTTAGATCAACTGTTCAGGGTGAAAACTTGCATGTAACAAATTTCTTGGTGGATTAAAATTAGCTGGAATTTTTGTTTAACTTAGTAGCTTTCTTTGATCTATCTGTTTTCACTTGCAACCATTTAAATCCTACTTTTTGTACTTAATAAAACACTTTTGTTTATTATCAAGCCAAGGGTAAATAGTTGTTATGGGGAGAGGAGAGCAACTACTGTGCGTATCTCTCTTTCATTGATAAAGAGGGCAAACTTATAAGATTTCTTTGCGTAAAACTTCTACACAGAGTAAGATGAATTTATCTGGGGTTTGGTCTCTTTTGGAGATTGGTTTCCTGGGTGCTAAGTAGGCATGTCAGAGTTTAATCGATAAGAATTAGCTTATTAGTTAACCTTACAGGTTAAACAGCCAGCATTGCCAGGAGACTATGAGAGCGTTTAACTCTGTAACTGATTGAGTGTCAATCAGTTCCACGGTTAGGCTTTTAAAAAATTTTTTACATCTCAAGAGCTGAGCCCTTACTGCTGAGCGCTCCCAGAACTGAACTAGTTCAGTGTTTGTATTGCTCTGCAGGGGGGCGGTAACCCCGATTCTGTGCTTTGACTGAGGATGCACGCCTGGGGTTAACCACCCCAAGAGGACTTCTGTGATCTCACTATTACAATTGCAAAGGAGTTTTCAGTGGTGTTTAGCACCTCCTTTGCCACACCCAGGTATAATGAATTCCTGGGCAGATTGTGGATCAGATCTTGCATAGGGACTTCCACCCTGGCTCAGACTGAGGGCCATCTACTCCAGGATCCTGTCTCTGACAGTGGCCAGTATCAGCTGCTTCAGAGGGAGGTGTAAGAACCTTGCAGTGAGCACAAATATGGGAAAATCTGCCCCTGACGTAGGTCTCAGATCTCTAATAAGAGATTATTTTAAACCCTGAAATGTAAAGTTTAATGTCCCATCTAACATGGTGATTGCCATTAATTATGGTAGTGCTGGGTATTCTGGCTATCCATCTAAAAATATTCAGTCCCTGGTGAAATCTTGCTCAGTTCTTGGCCTTGGTGCCTTTCCGTGGCAACCAGTTCAATCATGCTGTGTGCGAAAGGCATTTCCTTTTGTTGGTTTTGAATTTCCTACCTTGTAATTTCATTGAATACCCCCCTCCCCAAATGGGGTCCAGAAGGAATTTTCCCCTAGGTCAAGTTGGCAGTGACCTGCAGCGGTTTTCACCCTCCTCTGCAGAGTGTAGAAAGGAGTGACTTGCCAGGGTGATCTGAATATATCTTATTTACTAATTTCCCTGCTGTGTCAGGGACCCGGAGCATTGGTGCTTCTCAGTCCCTCCTGTTCTCTCCCTGTGTGATGTAACGAAACCCACAGGGAAGTTGACAATTTACTTTGGTTCCAGTGGGTTGAAGCGGCCCCTGCCTGTGGTGGGTTGGGGGCAGGGATGGGATGCACTAGCCTGGCCAAGGCAGAGGTGGGGGTGCCTCTCCTACTTAATTAGTTAAGCAGTTAAACTTCACGTTTAAGTGGTTAACCAGTTACACAGGATGTTGCATCCATATTTCCTATCTATGTATGTTTTTATTCACATTCTTGCTGATCAGGGCCTTTTAATGCTACACCAAAGACTCTTAGAACAATAGACAGAGACTTGTTTGTTAGAAACATAATATAGATTAAACCTCTTTACACTGCGATTCTCTGGTCCGGTAACATCTGTGGTCCTCTTGGACCATGGATGTTACTGGACCAACGAGCTCCATCAGGCAGGAGTCCGGTGGCATGGTGGGCTGGTGACTGGGAACCCTGTCAAGTCGTCGGCAGGGGGTCGGTGGCAGTGGGGGTAGAAGCCTTACTGGGTTGGTGGCAGCGGGAACTGGTGGGCCGGCTTTGACCTCCCTTAGTCTGGTAAACTCCCTTGCTTGGGACCAGTCAGTTTCCAAGGATGCTGGACCAGGGAGGTCCAACCTGTAGTTAAATTTAGTCCTGATAGTGGATTTCTTTCTTTCTTTCTTTGAAGGCTTTGTATTTTTATGGATACACAATATTCTGTCACTTACAACTCTCTTAATTGATTTATTCAGGAGTGGCTATGAGTCTGCATCCAAACACTTTGTTCCGGCAGACTTGGAGGTAAACGTAACTGGAAGATCTTTCATGATTACTGGAGCAAACAGTGGTATTGGCAAAGCAGCTGCAACAGAGATAGCAAAGAGAGGTGAGTACTGTGTAGATTTTGTTCTCTGTACTGCCTGAAGTCTTAGCATTTGCCTTGTGTGATAGATGAGCCATACGTGACTTCTACTGGACAAAGTGGTAACTTTATTTTGTATGTATCAAAAGGATTAAGGATCCCCATAAGAAAATCAGGAAATACAAGACCACTTTAGTTTTACAAACTTATCCTGTAACCTAGTGTATGAACATCAGTCTATTGCAATTGGTGCAGCGTACTTCCAATCCAACTGGGCCGATGAACATCAGTCTATTGCAATTGGTGCAGCATATTCCAATCCAACTGGGTCTGCATGGAGTCTAGTCTGTGTTTCTTGCTATAAATATACTCCCTGGCTCAGATCTCATGTCTGATGTCCTCCCCGGGTCGTGGGATGCTGCCATCCAGCTGCCCTAGATCCTGAAACGGGACTCAGACTTCTGAGTTCCCAGTCCCTTGAGTCCCTCACCATTCCAGAGTTCTGCCTAGACTGTGGTCTCTCTGGACTGACTCATTTCACCCCTTCAGAAACAACATGGCAGGAAAGCAAGAACACGGGCTTATTAAAAGACTTTCTTAACCACAGTGACTATACTCTTAAGCACACGAATGACAGATCTTCGAAAAAAACAGAAGTCCTGAGATACTTACCTAGTCTGACCTTTCTCTCTCTTGTTATGCCATTGTTAATCAGTGTTTCAGGCTTGGCAGTGTCTGTGCAGCTCTCTCCATATTGCAAATTCTCCTTTCATGTGGTGATGGTCAGTTCCCAGTACAGAACAGAACCTTGCTCTTTCATATAGTGCTTCCTTCTCTGAACTCAAACTGTGAAGCACCATATCCACCAATCATGCTTGCCTCCCACTTGCAGGGCCCTGAGTAGAAAGGCCTTATACAAAGGGCAAGTAGTAGTTGAGGCGATCAAAGTCATTAACCTTAAATTACAGTGTTGATGACTCACAGTAATGGCTTTCGGTGAGGTGACGCTCTTTCTGAGAAGGTCGTCCCTTTGGAGCGCAGCATAACAAGCTGTCCCAGGCAAGTCCAAATTGATGTGGTCACAGTGCCATATTTCAACAGAGGTATAAAATTGACTTCACAATTTGAGAGACAAGGTGGGTGAGGTAATCATAGAATTAGAGGCCTGGATGAAATAACTAGCTCAGTCCCCTGCACTCATGAATAACTTTTTTTTGTTTTTTATCTCTGATAGGTATTTTATCTAACTTATTCTTAAAAATCCCTTTTTTTTGTTTTTTATCTCTGATAGGTGTTTTATCTAACTTATTCTTAAAAATCTCCAGTGATAACGATTTCACACCCTCCCTAGGTAACTTATCCTAGTGTTAACTGCTATTATAGAATACTAGGACTTGAAGGGACCTTGAGAGGACATCAAGTCCAGTCCACTGCCCTCATGGCAGGACCCAGTACTTTCTAGACCATACCTGATAGACATTTATCTAACCTGCTCTTAAATATCTCCAGAGATGGAGATTCCACAACCTCCCTAAGCAACTTATTTCAGTGTTTAACCACCCTGACAGTTAGGTTGGACATTAGGAAAAACTTCCTAAACCTCCCTTGCTGCAGTTTGAGCCCATTGCTTCTTGTTTTATCCTCAGAGGCCAAGGAGAACAATTTTTCTCCCTCCTCCTTGTGACCCCCTTTTAGATACTTGAAAACCGCTATCATGTCCCCTCTGTCTTCTCTTTTCCAAACTAAACAAGCCCAGTTCTTTCAGTCTTCCTTCATAGGTCATGTTCTCTAGACCTTTAATCATTCTTGTTGCTCTTCTCTGGACCTTCTCCAATTTCTCCACATCTTTCTTAAAATGTGGTGCCAAGAACTGGACACACAACTCCAACTGAGGCCTAATCAGCACAGAGTTGAGAGGAAAAATGACTTCTCATGTCTTGCTCACAACACACCTGTTAATGCATCCTAGAATCATGTTTGCTTT